GAGTTGTACCGTGCGGCCAAAGCATCCCAGAGGGCAGCAGATGTGGTGAAGCCGCGAGCATGTTTGTGAACGGAGGGGCTGATGACCGCTAGGAGGCAGGCGCGGATCTGTGTGTCAACGATGGTCCAGGAGGTATACTCTGGATTAGGGACGGTTTTATCGTTTTTGGAGATAGTTGGCGCCGGGGCTGCTTCATGACCATCAATCCATCCAAGGAGGAGATTAGCTGAAAGAGCTGTCTGGACATTGAGAGACCATGCCGGATAATTTGTTTCGGTGGGTTTTTCTGGGATTAAGTTGTGGAGACTCCGAAGCAAAAGTTTTACTCCGGAGGGTAAGGACGCCAAAGGATCCGACGGGGCTGCCATGGTGGGCGGCGGTCGGAAAAAAGAGAGGCTAGGTTTTTGAGAGCCTTAGCTCCGATACCATGATACAATTTGATAATAACTTGTCTTATTGAATATTGAGAGATATGGCCCTATATATAGGGAATACAAGAGTAATCAAAGTACAAGTAGGAAAGGAAAGAATAATCCTAGTAGGAAAGGAAAGAAGTATCCTAATTTAATTATACTTCCTAATATTCTTCTTCATATTAGAAAAAAAAATTAATTCATTTAAATTTAAATTAAATAAAGAAGAAGAAGAAGAAAAGAATGGAAGGTGCGTGGGGGGTGGGGGGGCTGGCTGGGAAAGAGGAAGAGAGAAAAGGGGGGAAGGGTGGGGTCAAAATAAAAAATTTAAATTTATAAAATTATAATTTGATCCCAAATGACCTGAAGGTGACCTAGAAACCGCCTATTGAACCACCGGTGAAAGAATGTTGAAAGTTCGTGTACTTTTGTGAAAGAAATTAAAGTTTATATACCGAAGTGAAATAATGATAAAAGTTCGTATACCATGAGTGAAATTTATCCTGTATTGGTCACATCTAGAAAATGGGAGGACTAATGGCAAGAATAGGGTAGGAGTTCGGGATCACTGCCCCTGTATTTTTTTCAAAAGTCCCTCTTAATACATTTTGTCTTCTCATTTTCTTTTTCTTCTAATTTTATTTAATTTTCTCTTTCTCTCTAATCAAACAAGAAAAAAGTTTTCCACATCATTTTCTTTTCTTTTCCTTTCAAATTCCTTAAACCAAGCATAGTGTAAAGAAATAATTAGTACGATGAAGTTCTATTAATAATGGCGGGATAAATTTAATTAAATGGTAGTTTAGCTTCCGCACTATTTTGAATTAACTCCAATAAATATTTAAATTATTTTGAAATGTTCGGGCTTTGAATTAAATGATTTCTAATTTATTTGGAAAATATTGTACTCCCTCCGTCCCAAAAAGAATGTTACATTTCATTTTTTCGCGAATCACAAAAAGCACGGCTACTCACATCTAAAATTCTAAAATTTACCATATTTACTCTTTATTATAAGATGAAATTGTTTTGAAAGTTTTTTTGGCATTTGAGACGATATAAAAGTGTTTTAAGGGATGCGCAAAAAATGAAACGTAACATTCTTTTTGAGACGGAGGGAGTATGTTGATAGCAATATAGTGATAATCTGGTTCGCTAATCCATTAATTGGGGTTACGTGGGTTGGGGTGTTACAATTCCTATTTATAACAATCAACCCTTACCCTAATTACTAAGTTATCTATCCTGGTGGTTTAATAAAAGTGACGAGGTAAAGAATCGTAAAAAAACCATTGAGGAAGTTTATAGTTTCGCTCACTTAATAAAAAACTAGATTACATCCAAATATAACAATGTGAATAATAATAAGAATAATAATAAATCGCCTTATGACATGTAATCGTTGCGCCAAGCTGGAGGCCTTCGTTTTCGTGGAACCAAGCAAAAGCATGGCCTCAACCCTAGCATAATGGCTATCAATTTTGGACGTCGCGAAGGCAAGGCAGGTCTCCAACTCGCGTTGGATCTGTGTGCAGTGGCTGCTTCCCGCATGGAGTCCTTCAATTCATGGAAGCGAAGATCCGTGGCCACTAACTGTTTTGCGATAGATTGATCGTGAGTCGTGATCATCAACAAGAGCACCAATCTTATGAAGAACGTATTGGATAGGGAAGACTTTGAGTGTCTTCATACTCCAGAAGCTTGGGGCGAAGGGAATGAAAGAACACACGGCGTGCACAATGGGGCAAAGAGAGAATTAAGGTTTGGTATTTCTTATTTTGATAAAGAGCAAATAAATCATAAGCATGGGGAGTATCCCAATTTATAACAATAAACCATTACCCTAATTACTAACTTATCTACTATATCCTCACGGTTTAATAAAATCAACAAGGTAAAAACCCGTAAAAATCCTTGAAGAAGCCTATAGTTTTGCTCAAGTAATAAAAAATTAGATTACATCCACATAATAATAACAGGAATAATAAAAATAATAATAGTAATAATAAAAATAATAATAGTAATAATAATAATAATAAAACGCCTTAATTATGACACGTACCTAGCTAATCATTGCACCAAGCCTGCCGGAGGCCTTCTTAGTTCGTACTGGTGCACCTCGGCGTACGGAAACCACCCTCTCCTCTTCCTCATCATCTGTGTTTCCTTCCCGCTCCGTTACTGAGCCGTGCGTCCTCTTCGCCCATCTCGTTTAATTACATCCATGAGCTCGTCCATAACATAATATTAATGATATTATTATTAGGATTAATTTTATTTTTATTGTTTCCTTCCTTGGTTAATTAGAGACAGTATTCCTAGGTATGTGATGGGGAATAACTCCACGCAGCATAAATTTCCTAAGTATCAGGCTTGGACGTTCCTGTCCGGTCCAGAGCTCCGCTTGTCTTCCTGCCCGGCTCAGAGCTCCGCTCGCCTTCCTGCCCGGCCCTGCGCTCCGCTCGTCCCTCCTGCTCGGCTCGGCCAACCAAGCCGAGCCCGAACCCCGCGACAACGACGTGAGGAAAGCGACGTTCAACGAAGACTTGATGAAAGCGATAGGATGAAAGGGACAAGACCTAAGTACAGGTGACGTCCGCTAAACGACGAGCTTCGATCAGAGGGCTTTGACTTAGTGTATTGTACCCCCTATAAAAGGGGTGGCACCCCTCATTGTAATGGATCCAAATTTGAATCAATATACTCCTACTTTGCATTCTCTCTCTCTAAAACTTACTCCCTATGTCCTAAAACTTTCTTCCCATTTCCCTTTTTTCTCCGTCCTAAAACTACCTTCCCATTAGAAAAAAAAAGATAACAAATGACATTAATACCCTCATGTATTTACACCAATTATCTTCTAACTCTATATTTTGAATGATTGTAAAAAAAAATTTGCAAAAAATCTTTTTTAAGGAGGGTAAAATTTGAAGTCAAAACCAAAAATAAAAAATGGGGAAAAGTCAAACTGGGAAGAAAGTTTTAGGACAGAGGGAGTATATTATTTCATACTCTCGGTGGTTTATAGCCATCAGTATGTTATAAGAAATAGAACATTCAATATACATAATATTTACCAATATTAATTATTATATTCTTCCATGGGAGAAATTATATTAAAGGTTGAAAGTAAATTTGACATTTATTTCAAAATTATAGAGAAATTGCGGAATAAGAAATTATGAAAAGTTTATGGACACACAAGAGTAGAAATTTAAGAGACTGGAAATATGTTTTATTTTTAAATTTTACACCTACAATCAAATAAATTAAATTTAAAATAAAGTTAGTCAAACCTTATAAACCAAAATAAGAAATACATTTTCTGACGGAGTGTGTGTCTATACACACACACACATATAGGGTGACGTGGTTTGTGTCTTAGAACAATAGATTCTCATTATTACTCTCTTAATTCTTGTTACAATTACCAATGATGGATGACCGTCTTACCGTTACGTTGATGGTCGTTTATCCAGCCATGTCACTATCTCAAAAGTTACTCACATTCAACATGTTTAATATGAATGTAGGATACAAGTCTGATGGATATCAGGTTCATAAAGTGGGCCAAAAAGGATCAAGCCCGTTGTTTTGAGCTCAATGAAGATGAAGGCCTGACCGGGATTACAAAGAGTGACTCGGACCCAATGATTGAAGGAAGTATTGGGCCAGGCCCAACCCGTCTAGTTGGATCATGAAATATAAGGCAAGCGCAATCACTCTGATTGTGAAATTGGGGGGGGGGGGGGGGGGG